CTGGTCTGGTGGTTTTCAGAATCCCCCCAGGGCCCGTCTGCCTCTCTGGGGACATGGAGAGAACAGGGACAGGGCAGGGTGCTCACGGGGAGGTGGCACTGGGGCTGCTTGTCAACCCTCCCAGCTGCTTTTTAAATTAAGGCAGGTCGCAAATGAAGAGCATTAAGCAAGAAAAATGTTTGATTTCCCACCTGGGCAACAGGGTTTGCTCTTCCCAGTGCAGAAGTCCCAAGATGAGATGGGGAAGTAGCCCCGTTCCACGAGCAGCCATTTCCTAGGGAGTGGGAAGAACACTGTTGGGGAGCTGGATAATACTATGGGCTCCTATCAACATGGGTGGGACACTTATTTAGCATAAAGCAGGGCCAAGCACGTATAGAGGACACGGCGCTGGTCTGAGCCTAGAGATAGTCTATGTGCTCTTTGCCATCATGGGCTTGTTCATCTCACCCATTCTGGAGTTTTCTGTATTTCTCCAGCAGTTAACCACCAAGTCAGTGGCTGTGACCGTGATCCCCCTGGGAACAAGACACCAACCTCAACAGGAGAAAGCTCTGGTGGGGTTGTTGCTCCGTGATCCTATAATACATCCTGTCATGGTGCATTTGGTGCAATAAAATACATAGAAATGAGAAATGTTTTTGAATTAACCTGAAGAGAGAAATGAGTGGAGTGCTGCTATCTTTCTGCTTCTTAACATGTTAAATATAGCTTGTCCAGCTTGAAAAGGGGAAAATATGATCGACTTAGAAATGAGCCTCTTAGTCTGCTCCAGCACCTGGCTGTGAAGCAATCTAGAAAAGCTTCTCCAGGATTACCATGGTTCAGGGTGGGGTAAGGAATATCTTGCTGGTGCTACTGAAGGTTCATGCCTCAAGCCCTCCGTGGTGAGAGTCCCAGTGGGATTTTGATTGTGTGGTAGATGTGCCCCAGCTGTGGGATGGTCGCTGAAGGAGGAGGTTGATGATGGGGGAGTCATTCACCCCATCTGAGCAGTTCCTCGAGGCTCCCAAACACTTCGATGTTTGGAAATGGAGAAGCATGGGAAGCTATTCCAGGAGGAAAAACATGGGTGAAGAGAAATAAGCAGATGGAGTGTCATGGAGCCAGGACCCAGCACCCTGTGAGGTGGCACAGGGCCCCAAAAGCATTTGGGCATTACTGGGCCAGCTGCTCCTCATGGAAGGTGCTTCCCAGCTAGTTGCTGCCACTTTGCTCCTCTGAACAGCTTAAAAATTACCTCTTTCTCTGTAGCATGTTTGCTACAGGCAGCAGTGATGATGCTGGTCTCCATCAGAAGTGTCTCTTGGTGATTCTCAACTCATTACTTCTTTGGCTAAACTAATAAATGGTTGAATTTTAGTCATATCTTGGGAGCCCACAACCTAGATTGCTTCCTCTTTTAAGAACCCATTAAAGCTGCAAACACGTTAATTGCTGCTCCGCTGGCAAGTGATTGAATGGGCTCCCATAACCCCTACATGAATTAACTCCCCAGTAATTTATACCAATGTCTTCTGTGGATTTTGAAAAGGTGCTCTTAATGTCAGTTAGATCCCAAATAGGAGTTTCCTTTGGGAGCAGGGGGGACCTTTGCAACCTGACTTGCAATAGAGACACTTTAGGAATGTTTTAAAGGGTGCATGGGAATAGCAGTCTTCCAGCAGCAAGGATGGTTTCCTTGGGAAAACAAGATCCATGAGATGTGTGTTTAGCCCCAGTAAATCCAAAAACCTGCCTCCTCGCAGTGCTGCTTTGCAGAGTGAATTTTTCTGACTGCCTCAGTCAAAGGTGTGTGACCAAGTGGAAGAAGCAACTGTGTCAGGAGAGCTCAGCTCCTGCTCTGCTGTACTGGTTTCCTGATGATTTAGCAATGGGAGATGCAGGATGAGGAAGGTGGCCAAACCCTCGCCCAGGTCCCCAGGAGGGCTTAGCCCATCTGTGTCAACTCCCTCTCAAGCACAGGCTGCACACACAGCTCCTGCCACTTTGTTCGTGCCACGTGGTTGATGATAGAGTTCTGCAAGTCAGTCTGATGGCTGGATGCCTGGCCTTAGAGGGGACAACTTTGTGTCTCCTTCATGGTTTGGTGTCTTTTGTTGGGAAGGTGTTGGAAACACCAGGCACTTGCATCTGGAAAGCAAAGTGCTGGGCTCTGGGCACCCAGTGGGAGACGAGCACTGGTTTCTCGCTTTAAATTCCAGCCGTTCTCAGCATGGAAACGAGACTGTTTCTGCTTTTGGTTTTATCATTGAATTTGAAAGCTATATGAGGAATAATAAGAATAAAATTTCATGCTCCAAGGTCACTACTGGGCACTTACGTGCACACTTAAGTCTCCAATTTGGGTCCTGTTCATTTTTTAAGCCATAAGCATATAAACTGAAATTTGAAAAGCTGTTTAAAGAAGTAAGATTAAAACCATTAGTATCATTCTCCTTTTAATTCACCATTCCATCTTTCCAGATACTACTTCCAGTCAGTAGGAATAAAGTCACTAGGACTGAGCTTTGCATTTAACAGGCATCACAATATCTGCTGGAGACTGGCTGGGGAGACTGAAGGCAGAGATGCCAAAGTATAAAATTGTCAGAAACAAGAGATGATGCTTCTTTCCACAGAAGAAGCTTCAGATCCCAATTGTTCTGCTCTGAAACTAAAGCTAATTTTGTCTTCATTTCAGCATTCCCTAAATATGTTTTATAAATATAGTTTGCCACTTTGTCATTAACCCAGGTTCATTATGGCTTTCAAAAAAGAGTGATTTCCTTTTAAATGCTTGAACAGTACAGTTTGGCTTGTGCTTAGTCTGGGCTTGTTCCTGTTTGGTAGGTTTATGATACAAAAGCCAAAATATACAAGTCTTGATCATTTGGCAAATAGCTTGGGTAAAACTGTGTATTTTGTATGAAGGGATTGTGTAGCTGCATGGGGTTTGTTTTCCAGTAGATTAAATTAGCAAGAGCTTCCGTCAGCGTCAACAAACAACGATCAGTACCCAGTCTTGAAATTACAAAGCTGTATACAGGGTTTTTTAATTGGAAGCCAAAGTTAGTATAATTGAAAAAATCCTTACGGTCTAGAAAAAGGAAGGAAAAAACCTGAAAGAAACAGTTAGACCAAAATATTTCTCAACTGCATTTTCCCCAGAGATATATCTCAGTTGAGAAGAGACCATGGGCAAACAGTCAATGTCTCAACAGTTGCTGGTCTGATAGGAAGGAGAAGCTGGAGTTCTGACTTCTTTTTCTTTTTACTAAAGGTATATGCTTTCAGGGAAAATCTTTTCATAAAAAAAAAAAAAAAAACAAAAACAAAAACAAAAAACAAAAACACAAACCACCTTAAACCTTTGACTGTAGGAATACCACAAAATTCTGGCCAAAACCTAAAATATTTGAGTTGGAATTGCTGCCAGGGTATCAGAGGAAAGGTTCTTTGTAAGCCCAATGAGTGTGGGCTTTGCCTCCTGTGAGATGATACCTCCCATGAAATACCACATTTTTAGGCCCAAGGATTCTTCATTTCTACCCTGCAAGGCTACTGACTGAAACATTTTTATATTTTAATTTTTACATTTCCACAAGAATAAAGACTTGCATGATAGGAAGAGAAAAGCAATACATTTATAACCTACTCCAACTCTTTCACTTAATGGCAGAAGAGGAGCTTGAAGCCAATGCCACATCCTTAGGTATCCAGAGCTGCTGTGATTGCGTTGGTTCCACTGTCAAATTGTAATCTATCATTATACTTAAGATGCAAAATTATGATTTCTATCCATATCTGATTACTATCAGAGATCAACTCAGGCCACCTGGATTTGGATCATAGGATTAGGTTCAGACTGATCTGTTTTGAATTACTTTTTACTTGGTAATTATGTAATCATAGCACCAAAGTGTCTTAGTCATGGAATAGGATCTCCCATTATATATATTGTACAAAACCAAGAGGACTCTTATGCCTGGTGGAGTGTACAGCCTCAGAGCCGGTGTAAGCCAGAAGACAGAGGTAGACAATGCCAAGTGCAAATACTGGTTAGCAAAGACAAGGTGGGGCAAATGGCAGTCTTGCTGTTGATCTAACTGGGTGGAGGGCAGCTGTAGAGGGCTAATTCTTCTTTATTAAACTGGTATAAAGGATGAATAAACCATTCAGTGTCAAGAGTGAGTTTGTATGTCACTAAGATGAGCCTTAGAACCATCAGACCAAACATTGTCCCACGCTACTCCATGGAGAAACTTCTGAGCTTGAACCTTTCCTCATGTCATTATCCTATGGTAAAACAAAATTCCCCAGCCTGTGGCAGGGTTCACTGTCGATCACTCGTGAAACAAACTGCTGCAGCTGGTAGATAGACTGAAGAAATAGGTGTTTCGGCTTTAACGCTCAGTCTTTGGTTCTGCACTTTATTGCACATAGTAACTCCAGCAGGGAGCTAGCAGTGGGTTTGTTTATTTTAGCTATTCCAGCCTATGTCTTCTGTCCAGCCTTCCCCCGTGTTTCCTTCAGCCCACAGGGGTTGCCTTTGTGCCACCCAGAGTCACTTGAGAAATTTTACCCCATTTCTGCTCCTTGTATCCCTTCCTTTCTGGGTCTCACAGTGGTAGGGGACAGACTCACAGAAATAAAGAAAAGGAGATCCAGAGACTAAACTGCCAGATCACCCTCCCATGCAACATTGGATGTTGCAATGACCCTACGTAGAGTTCTGTGCGGTTTGTTGTGATGCACCTGGTGGGGTGGCTGTGTTTTGGTCACTAGAGAGTGGAAGTCATCCTTGTAGATCAACCAGAGACCTGACTGTAGTGTGCACAACTATCTTTCTGCATTACTACCTGCCTGGGGCAGGCAAGGCTTACCTCTGGCAGGGAGGAGCTCTGAACACATGGAAGCATCAGTAGGGCAAATATAAGATGCATTTCTTTTATAAATGCTCTTTTGTTCTCCAACACCTGCTCTTACTTAGTCGTTTCCATTTCTTTCTCCCTTTGCAGAATACTTGAGGAGCGAGACCACCTTTCTGGAAGAGTTGGTGTTTGGAAGTGGAGATACCATTGAACTTTCCTGTAACACCCAAGGCTCTTCTGTGTCTGTTTTCTGGTTTAAAGATGGCATTGGGATTGCACCTACCAACAGAACTCATATTGGGCAAAAACTGTTGAAGATAATCAATGTGTCATATGATGACTCGGGGCTGTACAGTTGCAAGCCAAGGCATTCCAATGAGGTCCTGGGAAACTTTACAGTCAGAGTTACAGGTAAGTGCAGAAATACAGCTGCTTGGGTGATTTTTTTTTTTTTAAACCTTTTGTCCCTTCACATGTCCAGCACAACTGGTGCTTTGCAGTGTTCATCCGTACTTGGTATGTCTCTACCTCCCTGGTAATTCCTGGCAGTGATTAGACTGACAAAACAAGCCAATCGAAGAATGCTTGTGTGTCCATACCAAATGTTAAAGCTTGATGTTAATACAGAGAGAGACTTAGAAATGGTGCTAGTCCCAAATCCCCCTTAACACTCAAATAGATGCAATGCTACATGCGCCTTTGAAGTCTTTTGTGAGCAAGTGAACTGTGGCTCGGGGAGGTTAAGTGACTTTTTCCACTTTATGTGACAAATCAGTGGCTAAATTGCATGTAAAAGCTGGAGGTTCCTGAAAACTGTTTCACTGTTACAGCTGATAAATCTCTTCCCTCCCTCCCGGTTATCAAAAATTACTAGTTTGTTTCAGAAGTAGCTTATCTGAAAACTGTGTATAACTCAAATATGTGCTTCATCAAAGGTACTTACTGGGATTCATATATTGCAAACAAGTATGCTTTGTTAACAAAGCACATGCTGTCATTTGCTTAGCCATATTTTCCACGATTGAGACAGTAGGACAGAACATCTACAAGCTGTCCAAGCCTGGATCACTAAACAGAGAGTGCCAGAAAAATCTGTTGTTCCCAGATAGCTAACCGCTAACACTAAGATCATCTCCATGATTTCAGGCTGCTGCATTGGTAGATGGGTGCTCACCACCGTGAGCAGATAGAAAGCCTCCTGATCACACAGATTAAAAGCCTGAATTTTCAGAAAAATTAACCTCTTGTGGATCTAAGGTTTTGAAAATTTTCCTTTGCCCTTGTACAGTTGAGGCTTTATCAAGCATCTCTGAACAGTAGGTCCTTGCCTCCAAAAGTTGAGTTCCCTCAACAATTAAGGGGCTCTGTCTGAAAACCAAACACAGAGATGTTTGTGATTGTAAATCACATCCACTCCATAAAGGGCTTTCTTGTGCCAGAAATAGGATTTTGTGTAAGTGAGAGAATCAAACCATCGTGAGAATAAAAGCCCATTTCAGCAAGCCTTCACCAACATCTGCTTTTCATTGAACGTTACTGGAGATTGCTGTGAATGCTTCAAGGTCATATCAATTAAATGGTTAAAGAAGTATTTGGCCCTTGAAAGGCTTTCTTTAACTAGGTACGATGATTGGAGCTATCCAAGGAACTACAGGTTGTTAGAAACGTTACCTTTTTTTTTTTTTTTAAGTGACATTAAAATGCTTTTGAGTTCAAGGGGCAGCAAAGAGGCAGAAGAGGGCAGCTGGTTACACACTCAAATGAAACAGCTGCCAGCCCCAAAAGTTCGTAAAGTGAGAAATTGTTTTTAATAGTGGAAGGGCTGATAATCCTCTGCTTTTAAAAAGTTTAAGCCCCTGTGTTTTTCCTCTTTGTTAATAATAGCTAATAACAGCTTAAGAACAAGCGAGTAACCCGAACCTGCTTTCTGACAACATTATGAGTCTTTGATTCTATTAGCCCACTGTCATTACCACCAAAGTGCTGGTAATGTGGGAGACTCCATTTTAGCTGTCAGCAGCACTTGCTTTAAACTTTGAAGCCCTGCTTTATGTGGCAATAGTGGCGCCTCTCATATGTTCAGATATTTCTTCATAATTAGTATTGATCACTCAGCGTGGCACTGTGGAGATGAGATTGTTATCGGAGATTTGTGGTCTGTGTTCTCACTTCTTAAAGGTAATGCCAGTGATTAGCTCAGGTATCTGGTCTGGTGTTTCTGTGGATATCTAAGGTTTGGGGCTGGAGTTGTTCTCTGTGTTAAACTGATATAAATCTGTAGTAACAAACTGGAATTTCTCTGATCCGTATTCTTACGTGAGCAAAACTAGGCTAGGTACTCAGAATAGCTGATACACACATAAGTCCCATTTTGAGAGATGCTTCTAAATTCTAGGAGGATATTAGGATTTTCCTACATGGGATCATGAGTTTTGAGTTTGCTACAAATTGGTTCTTCTGCAGCGACTCTCAGTGCGCACAGAGACGCTTGGTGCTGAAGGTAGAGCAAGGAGATGCTGGAGCTCACATTTCAGGGTTGAAAATCAGGTTGATTAATAGCAAGGTTTGATCTCTTTAGAATGCCTCCCTTGACAGACATGGGCATGAGTGTTTTGCTGGTTTACAAAAAGAAACGTGCTGTTCTCTTAAAACCTGAGCACTTGAAGAAGATCACAAATAAAGGCTGCATGCCCAAACTGACCTCCAGCCCTGTTGGCAGAAGCTCCATTTCTGCAACTATTTTACGCACAGAACAGGCTTTGAATTTAGTGGCCGAGCAACACCCCAGTGATGAGCACAGACTGGAGGCTGGTACCTGCAAAAAGAACTTTCAAAATGCCCAAGACTGAGCTCTTCAAAACTGGCGACTAAAAGAATTAAACCCCTTTCCATTCATAATTAAAGCCCTTTAGAGAATAGCATCTAGTAGCTCTTGCTGATGCCAATACTCGTCAACTTCTGAAAAGGATTACTATTTTAGTAATTAATTATCAAATAGCTTATGAATTTTTAGTCACCTTTTGAAAAAAGGTGATGTTCTAGTAACCTGAATAATATAGTAGCTCTGAACATGGGATATTTGGTCTTAAAACCTAAATTGTATCTCTCATCTGAAACACAGGCAAGGTCAAGTGTTCCCTCAGTCTTGTGGAAATGTTTTTGAATTGGTTTAAAAATTGGTTCTGCTCCTCTGGTCATGATTGTTTCATTGGAAACCAGAAGTAAACTATAATTCCATGTTAATATGTGGATAACCAAATCTGAGAGTGCAGGGCTGAGAATATGCTGGTTTCTCTGTCGATGCTGGTGGGGATTTGGCTCGGTTTCTGCCTTCACCGGGACTTGAGTAAACCTGCTGGTTCAGCCAAAACACCTAAACATCCCCTTCACTTTCAGCAAGCCCTGTGGCATTTCCCTAGTTCTGCTGCCAGCGGGACCTGAACTGTGGATTTGCAGTTAGATACGTGCTTGAAGTCTTCCTCGAGACTTTGCCAAAGAGAAGGTGCAAAGCATGATGTGCCACTGCAGTCTAAAGCAGAGAGATTCTGGTGTTGCTTGCTCCTGTAGATGATGAAGATGTCTGGAAAGACCTTCCAGATTCTGCAGAAAAGTAGTATTTGTTGTTCCTTTTCCCCTACCTGTTGTTTTTTGTTTTTTGTTGTTTTTTTTAAATTTCTTTCTATTTTTCTCCCTTTTTTTTTTTTTTTTTTTTTTTCCCCCCACTCTTACCTCCACTGAGCTGGTCAGAGAACAGCAGAAAACTCAAGTGCATCTTGAAATGAAGGAGGTGCTGCCTGGCTTGGTCTAAAGTAGTGCTTTACATTTCTGGCCACATGTTGAGCAGTCATAAAGTTTCCTATTTTCTAGTGTTTACAGCTGAGTTCTTTTACTGCTGTCTCAGAGCATAAAGGCTGCTGCGTTGTTAGCATTTTGCCATGACTTAAAAAAGAAATTAATGGAGATTATATGAAGTCAGTGATGCTAAATCTTCTGGACGCTGAATTGTACTAAATCGTGTAAACAGAGTCAAACACTAAGCTGCTATTTCATCATGGGATTTACATTTACAGTAGTCATTTGGTGGGAGGAAGAGGGACTGAGACTTCATTGTGGGCTACTTGGAAAAGGTGAGATGTTAGACCACATTAAGAGAAACAGCTCAGGATGTTTTGGAGAGATACAGATGGAAAATTCCCACCTGTTAACCTGTATTCAGTTACAGCCTTGAGGTGCCTCCGTAGGAGGAATATAACCAAAGGGAACTGGTTCATGGAGTAACCATCAAAATGTTGATCAAGAGAGGTTTGATTGCAACAGGAAGTTTTAAAAGCTTTGGTCTGAGTGGTTGAGCAGGGAGTTAACAAGGGGAGATGTGGTAGGGGTGTACTGAGTTAAAAGAAAAATGCAGGGAAAGTGAATTTGAAATGCTGTCCTGTCATTTTGAGACTTGATGAAATAAGAAGTCTTCAGACTGAATGCTAGAGGGTGGGAAAAGGCAGGGGGAAGCTTGTTCTGCAGAAACAAACTCCACCTTTTGGAATTGCTTTTGTATTTATGAGGAGAAGAGCAATTTACATAGGGAGAAGTATTTGGCATTGGACCCCGGTCTCTGGTGGCAGAGCACTAGCAAACTCATTACACCTCTATCCCAGTTGAGAAAGCTGCTGCACAGTTGTCCCTGGCTCATCATGGGAGGGATGGGCTGGTGGAGCTGCAGGGAAGGGTGACCCATCACTTGGATGTCCTCCCTCACTGGAGCCCACTGGGGCACCAACAGCCTTGTCCAATGTGGTGTCCCCACGTGCCATCCTCTTCCTTCTTCACTTCTTTCTTATTTTTCTCCTAGATTCCCCTTCGTCAGGTGACGATGAAGATGACGATGATGAGTCAGAAGATACAGGTAATTTGTTTTTCTGGGATAGAGAGGCCTTTTCTTTCAAAGAGATGAGGCTCCCAAGTGGAGCAGTTCATCTGGATGTTCGCCTGGCCAGACAGCAGTTTTTTATCCGTGTTGAAATCGGTGACATTAGGATGGTACCATGATCATGTTTATCTAAAAATTTAGAAATAGCTTCAGAGATTTATCACTGCTATAATATCCAATAGGTAAAGTAGCGTAATTTTTTTTTTTTGAGACTTGATTCTGTGAATCTGACTTCATGATGCATGTAAATCCAGACAAACTCACAATTTTATTTTTTCTTTACTACACTGACATTACACCAGTTTTACACCATTGCAAACCTTGGCCTGCTTTATTTTCAGCTGTTTGGATTCTGGTCCTTACCATCATCTTGGCTGGAGTCAGAGCATAAAATTTATGCTAGACAATGGCCAAATTTACTGATGCTGTAAGTGGGAGAAACCCCTTTGGCTTTACTGTTTTTTTCTTTCACTCACATGGGGAAGGGAGCCCCAGGACGGAACCTCTCGGTGCTTTTACTCTGATTCTCTTTCAATCTCAGTGCTTGTTTCTTTAAGTTCAATAGCATTAATCAGGATCATTACATGCTTCAGAGGTGTTAGTGTTGTATTTTATTATGCTCTTTATATTTCTGCAAAGTGAGCTGCCTGTGTGTATGTGTTTTTAATAAATAAATGTCTTACATTCGAACTCCCAATCAGCTATGTACATTGGCAGAAGTTCAACATGACTGGAAAATTTCTCCTGCCCATAGTGTTGGACATGCAGGACTGTAATAAAACAGGTCTCCCACTGTAATAAATTCATACCGCTGTGTCGTGCAGTATGTGGACAGTAATGGTGAGTTATGGTGCCAGCCGACCCATCAGCAGCAGTTAGCGGTTTTCTGATAGCTTCTAATTAAAGGCCGGATCCTGCAAGGTGACAAGCACCTTTGCAGAGGTGCTCAGGGCTCCTGGTGGCTGCTGAAGCCTGGTAGAGGTATAGGGTGGGTGAGGTTTGGTCAGAATTTGTTCCTGCTGCAGAGCAGCTTCTGATGAGCACAATTAATCGTTCTTTACCTTTTTTTTTAATGTGGTTTGTAGTAAACTCCATCTCTTAGCAACAGGTATCACAAAACATCAGCTGGTTTATGGTACAGAAAGACACATTTTTCTTCACTGAAAAGGAAAACACACGTTTTGCCACATGTATTTATAGCCTGTAGTCTGGGTCTTCTTGACTTCAAGGCTGTCTCTTTTTTTAGACGTGAAGGTAACTGGCTTTGCTTACAGGTCTCGTTGTAAAAAGTTGGATTCTCTTCTGCTTTGAGAACAGTTGATTAGCTTAACGTCCCAGCACAGTGGAACCTTATGGCGTGTCGTGACATGGATGTGCTTTATGTTGCTTTATTTGACGTCAGACCCTCCACTTAAGTTTCACATATCTTCTCTTGAGGGTGGGGAGCTGTGTTGTTATTCCTGGCACCACTTCCCCCCGGACATCCCACTGGGGACAGGGGCTGCAGGACCATCCCAGGCAGGTGGACACATGGGTGTAGCCAGTGCCATGTCCTATGAACAGCCCAAAGACCTGTGTCCTCTGTCTCCTGTGGCAAAAAGATACCCTACTAATGAGATGTATGAGCCCCTGCTTGGCCATCAGGCATAGCCATGGTCAGTAGTTAGAAGAGCGAGGGCAATAAACACGTTTTCGTGCAAAAGAAAAATATAACCAATAGTTATTAATATTTAGGGGGAGGTAATCCTTCCAGGATTGTCTTACTGTGTGTTGCTGTATTGCACATCACTGAATAAAAGCCTTGTTTCCTGGTGCCTTGCAATGATAAGTTAATTGTCTGGCTTAATTGTGTTGTTCAAGAGAGTTTCTTATCCTCATATTTATAGAGAAGAGCTAGGAGAGCAGATTTCGATAGAGTCATGAGTTTGAAGGCAATCTTGTTAATTTTGGGGGTTTGACCCAAAATTGTTGAACAACAGGAGTTGGCAATAGCAAAGCAAGAGAACAAGAGGAAATCTGTCCAAAAAGAAATTCATATTTGGTGCAAAAACTCTTGAAGGTCATGGAGGCACCCCCTCTGTGTGGAGTGCCCTGCTTTGCTCACCCTCCTTTAAGCATCATCTCCAAAAGGCAGTACAGAAATGGGGCATCCCTTAGGGATGGGCAGCAGAAAAGAAGAAAGAGAAACTTCAGCAGCTTCAAATCATCGGCCCGTTTGTTGCAGCCTTGTCACAAACTGTGATCCGCCTTTGCAAAAAGAGGCTTTCCAATACCTCTGTTCTCTACAGCTGTTTTTCCTGGCCCTGAAACAAAAACAAAACTCCCTTTTCACACACTGCTCTTCTGCCCCAGTGCTCCCTACCCCTCTGTATCTGTTTGTTTGGAGCCCCTGCTGCGTAGCCCCAGCACCTTCAAAGAGCTCCTATAATCTCCAATTAAATCTGGCTGTGTACTTGGAGGCGTCAGCTGGGGAAATTACACAATTAGGGTTGATTCTGTCTGCCGCAGAATTTTGTGGCAGCTCCTAATTGCTAAATGAGCGCTCGGCTGTATTAATTATTCCAAGTATTGCTCTCGGTTTTTTTAATTGGTCATTCCAGTTGGATGGGTGGCCGGTGTCTTTGACGAACAAAACAGACTGTCGGGCTTAGTGTTTGATGATGGGAAAGGGCCGGTGATAATGTTTGTGGGTCCCTTTTTTTTTTTCACACCTGCACATGCAAAATCATTGCTTGTAATTAATTTAGAGAGAACAGGTCTAGAAATTTTTCCTGTCTTTCATCCTTCCTCCTTTCTCGGTCCCAAAACTCTCTGGAGCTTTGCAAGCTTTGCTTGAAAAGAAGAGTTAGCAACATTTTTACCCCCTCAAGAAGCAGTAATGAAAGGACTCTGGGGGCACAGCAAACCAAAAGCAGTGATGTTTTGTTCGCTGCTCCTGCGAGTGAGAACAAAGGCACCGTTTTCAATGCGTAGACACTTTCTTCCAGTTCCAGTTTGACTTGAGAGTGATGCTCTGGTCGTCTGAATCTTGGCACTTTAATCCAGGGGTGCCCAGCCCTGGTGAGCCCCGAATTGCATGGAAGAGCACCTAAATGGAGGGAAGGCACTCAGGGAAGAAGCCATGTCTAACTGCAGGAGGGAGGAGCGGATCTTGCCTTTGCTCCATATGGAGAATATCCCCAGCTGGAAACTTGCCTGGGCTGCGTCTTGCTCCTCTCTGATGTCCAATGGCAAAATCCTCCTTGGCTTCAGTGGCACTTTGCAGCCAGTGGGTTGATGGGTCTCCTGTGAGATTCAAACTCATCTTCTAAGTGAGAAAACATGCTGAAATGTCATTCTGCAGCACACACAGCCAGTGCAGAGAGGGGAAAATTCCCCAAAAGCAGAGCACAAGGAGGAGTCCAGTCCTGGCAGGGCAGCTGTGTGATTTAGTTACACCCCTGTGCCTGGGTGAGTGTCACCAATGCCATAAAATGGAATTTATTGTAGGCAGATAAGTTAATCAGACAATAAATATCAGGTTATTTGGCTGCTCTTCTTAGTGGCAGTGGAGGACTTTTCCATCCATGCCTGGCCTTTCCCTGAACTCTCCCCCATAGCCCCGTTAACCTCCTCTAAAGTCCCTGGGAAATCAGGGTGCCTTGCCAAAAGGAAGCGTTCAGCCAGAAAATAGCCCATGCTTCGGAAACCAAGGACCAGATGTCTCCCAAGATGGTTTCTGTAGCTCCCTCCTCTTCAGCCTTCTCAACACCACCCCAACTGTCCTCCTCCAAATTCACCTCCCTGCTGCTGCCTGGGATTTTGCCCAGATTTTGCTTGGTTTCTGCCCTTCCCAATGCATGTGATAGCAGCATCTTCCTTCACCATCAAGGCCTGCTCTTCCTTTAGGGGTTGCATCCACTCTCTTAACATTTTTTGGAATATTCCCCTTTTTTATGTAGTTCTGCCATTTTTCTAAGCTCAGATGTTGGAAGGTAGATGGCTACATGATGTCCTGCTTTAGCCCACATTACCATGTAGCATTTGAGGACTTTCCTGGATGTGCTGTGTGTTTACAGCAAAGTTTTTAGCCAGGATTTTGCAGGAGTACAGGAATTGCAGGAATTCCTCCTTTTGCTTTTGTTTGTTCCAGCCGTACTCCTGCTCCGGTGCCATCTGGGCAAGAAAAGGGCCTTAAGCAGTTTCATTGTTTAAAAAATGAGGTATACACAGGATGGGTGAGCACCAGCTCCTCCTGATACATGGAGCTGCCTCTGATAGGCATCACAGTGTGTTGTGCAAGGCAATCTGAGGGCAGATGCAAGCCCTCAGTACTGGATTTCCCTCTCTAGGATGGCCTTACTGAGGCACCTACATTCAACCATGAAAGCAGATGAGACATGAGAGTGATGTGCCCAGCAGGACCATCTCCAGCAAATGGAGGGGTTCCTGGATGTAGCTTCAGAATATCCAGTTCCTCATGGCCAGGTGGGCTTCACAAAGAGCCAGGGAGAGACATGTGGAGGGTGTTAGCAGGTGCTAAAAATCAGTGAGTGTGTGGATTGCCTGTGCTGAGCTGTATGACCTTGCCTGCAAAATTCTTGGAGCTGAAATGCAGCAGGAGACCTGGGGGGGGGGGGGGGGGGGGGGGTACGACACTGGAGACTTAGACCAAGATGGGGTCATCACGGGGTTCATCAATGACTCTAACTGGAATTGCAACGAGATGGGTCTTGTGGAGCCAAATACATCAGGGCTAAGTACCTTAGGGAGCTCTGGAGAAAGGGAGCAGCTCAGGTACATCCCAGAGAGATGCAACAAGAGGGAAAACTTTGTACACCCCTGCCATTAATGAGAAGAGGATTGTAGAGGCTTCAGAGTAGCAAACTTTGTACACCCCTGCCATTAATGGAAAGAGGATTGTAGAGGCTTCAGAGTAGCACTGACGTGGGGCTGTGATGCTGGATGGTATATCTGAGCATTGTCACTGCTGTGGGACAGGTCAGCAGCGATGCTTTCCCAACAGCTTTGGTAGCTATCATGTTCTCCAAGGCAGTTCTTCAAGGACCAGCACCTTCAGTTTGTCATGGCCAGAAGCACACAGATCTCTGTGACTGGTGGGTTTGGGTCCTCTGTCTGTGGGTACTTCCTTCCCATCTGGAGGAGATGCCAGTTATACTCCTTGGCCTCCTCTTGGCTATTTTGCAGCTCCCATCTCCCTTTGGCCTCTGTGTGCAGCATGAATCTGAGGGGCTGGATGTGGACCCTGGCATGGCAGGGGAAACACTCCACAGGCAGCTCTGCAGCGTTTCCTTAAGCAGAAATGAAAGCTTGGAAGGCTTTTTTGAAAAAAAAACTCTCTTTCTTCCCAGTATAATGAGTTTGCTGCTGCTGCCTTAATTTGCAGTTAATATGTAATGTTTGTAACACAGCCAAGAAACATCGCTGTACTTGAGGCAGATTTTAAAAAATATCTCATGCTAACACTGGTGTTTTAAAACTTATCCCTGTTCAAAGGTAACATGAATCTTTAAAACTAAAATCACTTGTACTTAAAGAACGTAAACATGATAAACCAGTTTAGCACTGGCATTTTTTTTTTCCTTCCTTCCCTTAAGGAGGCTACACTACATTTGTGCTCACTGAGAAGCAAAATTTTCCAGTGCATTCAACTAGCACTTTTTCTCTGCTCTCTTGCTGGCCCATCAACATTTTTTTACAGTTCCAACATCTTTCTGCTATTCATGCTTTTTATCTACTATTGTCACAAAGGTACATCTGTATCTTTTTACACACTGAAGCCAGATTCTCATCCTGATCTGGGATAACTCTCCCTGTTGATTTAAAAGCAGCTACTCTAGATTTATACTGGCATTACTGAGACAAGAACCTGGTCATGAACCTTTCATCACAAACCCAAAATGCAAACACCCTGTCTACATCTATGAGAGTCATTTAGCTGGAAAGCATTTCTGTGTCATCTATCTTAACTGCAGCAGGTAGCAATTTAACTGTCACTCTGCACATGCCAAAGCCTCGTCAAATGCATCTGCTCGCCAGCTGATATCCTCCATGGCAGAAATGGGCCTGTTCAACTTGGTCTTTCCTTTCTCAGGTGTCCCCTTCTGGACCCGGCCAGATAAGATGGAGAAGAAGCTGCTGGCAGTTCCTGCTGCTAACACCGTTCGCTTCCGATGTCCGGCGGGTGGAAACCCAACTCCTTCCATCTACTGGCTGAAAAACGGCAAGGAGTTCAAGGGAGAGCATAGGATTGGGGGCATCAAGGTAAGGCCTTGTTTTGGATCTCTGTTTTTATCAGGAGTTTTCTACTGACTGTAGAAAATTGTATTTCACTAACACTGGTGCATGTAAGAGCACGGTCCTGACTGTGAGGGAACGGGGGTGTCTCTGGCAGCCTTAGCAATTGCTTGACACAGAAGTGTTAAAAAGGGCTTCTGTCCCTTGGGCTTCTTGAGGGCTAATTCCCTCTGAGTTTGTCTATAGCAGTCATTCAGGGACTAGGTAAAAATGAGGCTGGTTTTATGGTTGTAGTGGACAGTGATGAGAAAGCAGGAGCAGAAACTTCTGTCCTAATTTCTGGAGATCAGCCCAGTGCATTGAGACATGTTAGATTGAGCTGTAGCTACTCGCAGCTTTCAAGGAAAACCAACTGCATCCTTTGAAGGTGTAGGAAGGACCTCACCAAAGAGCTGGACCGTTGTGCTGGTGGTCATTAACATTCTTGTGCTATAAATCACTGACCCTTGGTCAAGTGTTGAATTCCCTTATAGCCAGGGTAATAGCATGTGCTTCTTGGCTGCTTTTTTCTCCCTCCTTCCTTTTTACCATGTGGTGTTCTGGAAAATGCTCCAGCTTGTGTTTATAGATAGAGCTAGGGGACACAAAAACCCACTGCACTCAAATGATTTAATCAGCCAGAAGTTTCTGTGCTTCTGTATGTGACAAATTATGTCAGGATTTTAACAGGAAAATCAGTTTCTCTGATTTTGTTGTTGTTATTACTTTGTCCCCTTAAGGTCGGTGAGACTCCTTTCTGGTTTTATTGGGAGAGAATAAAACTGGCAGCAGCTGATTATAACAAAACCAGCGTAGCAGGAAGGACTCCCAAGCAGCAATTTTTGCCTGCACTCTGCCATCCCTGGCATATCCCTGGGCTACTGCAAAGGAGAAAGGGACATTTTTAGGAGGGCACCTTCATCAGTACTCTGAATAGCTGTGTGCTGATGCCTACCACATCTGTAGCATTTTGAAAGGGGGCTAGGCATGCAAAGCGTGCCGAGCTCCAGAAACCAGAAAAGGATTCAAAAAAGTCTTCCCTCCCTGCAGTTTTGGGCTGCTTCTTTCCTGTTAGCTCAGACCCGTTCCTGAAAGAGCCCTTTGTGATTGCTTCAGTGAAGCCTTTGAAGCTCCCTCCTCAATCCTGTCCCTGGACAGGCTGAATCCAGCCTGGACAAGGCTGAGGACACACTCTGGTTTGGATCTTCTGAAAAGTTAAGGAGGGGAAAAAAAGTGGGGAAGCAACTCCTGTGGGTAAACAGCCTTTCAGCAGATAACATTCACAAAGCACACGCATCTTTTACTAATTGCAGGCTGTAAGGATCATCATGAAGTGTTTTCAGGCTTGCGTGCGCTGTTCAAATGGCTTTTTACAAAACTATGTGACATCAGCTGCACTAAATTATGCTTGCAGAATAAAATCTAAAGCTGAAAGCAATTCCCCTACCCACTTCCCGGTGGTTTTAATCTATCTTTGAGTTTAAATTGACACGTTTCATCCTCTGCAACACGGTAGTGAGTCTTTGGCATCGCTGTGCTTTGTTTCTCTAGGGGCACCTTCCAGCAACAAGCTGATGCTTAAAAGAACTATTGAAGGCAATGTCAGGCCAATTATAGCAAGATTGGTTTAAGCTCTCTATCTGTCTAGGTGTAGTTCTTTGTCCCTTTCTTGATATAAAGACATCTTTCGCTCTCTATGATTTTCCTTCCCTTATTTGCTTGCTTTTGTTCTTGAGCCGTGGTTAGATGTGAGTAGTCCAATGTAAATCTCAACCAGTATAAATATACTGATAGCTATCAGATGAGATTTGAACCAGAAAAAGAAATTGAAAACCTGCTTAGTATCTCATGTATTTAAGATTTAAATACCCTGTTACAACTTAACTTCATAACAGGATTAGGCAGCTTGAAAAGAATGGGCAAGATCCAGATTTGGCAGAGTTTGGTTGGCTTACTTCATCTCGAGATCTGGTCTTAACCCAGAAATCCTTGAACTGGGAATGTTCTAATTTGTTTTCAGTGTGTGTGGAGCAGTTTAAATGTTGATTGTGAAAGGTCTGTGGTCAGCAGATGAAAGCTGACCACTCTTCCACTTCTGCCTCTTGCAAATGGCATTTAGATCCTGTGTCATTGTTGGATGTAAAGCCTGCAAGAGAGAAGGGTGAGTGTTGAAAACATGAAGTACAGGCTAACCTAGTTTTGTTACAGTTCATCCTTAACTGGTAAAGAAAAAAAAATTAATATGACTTATCATATGAAGTTTCCCAAAGAGCATTAATGGTTAAATCCTTGTAAAGCCTGCAAGAGAGAAGGGTGAGTGTTGAAAACATGAAGTACAGGCTAACCTAGTTTTGTTACAGTTCATCCTTAACTGGTAAAGAAAAAAAAATTCATATGACTTATCATATGAAGTTTCCCAAAGAGCATTAATGGTTAAATCCTTGTTGGAATCTCTAATATCGTAAACCTGTGTGTGTTAAATGACCCTAGAAGGGAAGATTGAGGGGGAGGGGAGGTAGAGGATTATCCCTTCCCCAGACCATTGCACTGACTTGCATACCAGTCTGGCAAACACGGACTGAGGTTCCAAGTGTGTCTGCAAATGTTTGTTTCACAAGGAGCCAAGAATGACAACACCAAATAAACCAAAGGGATTTCCAGTATCTCACCCACCTGATTAATGCCTGCACTAAGTCACTTTATGTTTCTAGTGTTTTATTGAGTGCAGAGACAATCCTAACTTAGGAAAGTCCCTTTTTATTATCCTTTAAACCTAGACACCAACCTCAACCTAAAAAAATAAATCTTGTTGCTTCTAGAAGAGTTTCCAAACAAGTTTGGCATCATGAGTCTGTGCCTCCAGGTTCTCCTCTCTGTTCAGAGTCCAACGTCCCCATCACAAACCTGACAAAGAGAAGTTCTTTGAAAGTGTCATAAAAGTGACTTTGAAAGTGCATGCTAATTAAAACACCTAATTTGGACCTGATTTTGTAATACAGGTCAGACTACGGAGTTGTCCATGTATCTGGAGCCCCATTTCCTTGGAGTAGCTCCTCAGGGTTCCAGACACAAATGCTTTGCAATGCTGAAAAGTGGATTAAAAGAAGTCTTTAGGCATAACTGTGAGACAAGCCAGTGTGGAAATGAGCCACTGCGCAGCCACAAATTTGCATTGAAACTTCCTTGACAGTCTGGTATGTTTAGGTGTGAACTCAGAGTCCAGACTTTCTGTTCTCAGAGCCTCTCTTACCCTGTAATTGCTGCACTGTTACAGAGGTGCACCAAGTGGGACGTTGCTTTACAAAAGGTGTAATGTTGGTTCTGCATTGGGCCCCATCTGTGCTGTCCTGGGTGGGCAGAGGGTGCAGTCAGACCAGGCCAGACATCTGCTACAACCGAGATTTCTATACAGACTGTTTAACCACAGCCTTCTATTACCTATAACCCGAAATGAAAGGAAATGTGGTCTCTGAAAAGTGGGGTGCTCAGCAGTGCTGTTCTCAGGCATGCAGAGATCTACAAAGCTTTGTTAAAATAACTTTTGCTTGCTTATCTTGCAACTAAGCTGTCTAGTCCTATGACTCTAAACTTTCTCTTTGCAAAATTCCAGTTTTAATTGCAACTTGACCCTTTAAAGGAAAGCATGTGGATGCAATTTACGTGTAGCAGAAGAGGTTAAATGACTTCATATTTGAGTTCACCTGCTGCAGCAAGAAACCTCCAGGAGCAATTACACCCTTGTTTTTTCCATTAGCCCTTGACGTTCTGTAGCACAGCATTATTATAATCTCCGGCTTCTGTGTCCTTGGAGTCACCTTCAAACTGTTTAATAAAGTTAAATGTTCTGCTCTGGGCGGAAGAAGGCATCAAATTAATATCCAGAGATTTAGAGAGCTTTCATATGCTATGCATCCTGAAGTCATCTTTGTTACTGTTGGTTGCTTTCTGTATTAACTCAAGATTTGCTTTCCATTTCTGTTATTTCCTTTATACTCATTAGAAACGAACGTTCTAGCTGGAATCATAGGGCAGCAGGTCAAGGTGGAGACATGGGTTGTGCTTTCCCTTCTGCTACTGAACAACTAACAACTCTGGACATGAGCCACACCCAGAAAACTAACTAGTATAAAACTTGGTGCCAAAAAAGAAGCGCTGACCAGGCATCCTAGGGACCAGACTTGAGACTGGGCATGTTTTCTCCTGTTTTTTACAGGGAATTTATGGGACTAACTCAGATGTAGACACATTTCTGTTCAGACAGATTCCATGACCTGTTGCCTCTATAGTGCACATCTTTAAAATATGTTGTAGATGGGTAACAAGTATGATTTCTGTTGTTTGTAGACATCTTATAGGTTATATGTAGCAGTTGATAAAGATCTGCAGATGAGAATACAGTATTTTGAGCTGACAGTCTCTGGACCAGAGTGATCTGTCAAAGGCAACCAGCGGATCAAGAGTTATCTTAGCTGATGCCTTCTGAAGTCATTATTCTAACAAGAGGTGCCACATTCAGCTGTCAGTTGGTTTCATTATAGTTATTATTGTGGAAGCATCTACAAGTTCCCCCTTACAATCTCAGCGTGTTACATTGTGTTGCACTGTTGGTCTTAATTCCTTTTCACATTAAGCCTTTAATGACCCTTGAAATGGGTTCTTGTGATGTTCAGGCCTACTCTGGGGTCCATTCATGCTGCCCAAGTGTGTAGAAACTCACTGATTGTTGACTGATTTGAATGGTCTGGTCATGATGGTACTTGACCATGAGCTTGACGGTTTGATTTCTTCTAGTTGCGACATCAGCAGTGGAGCTTGGTGATGGAGAGTGTTGTGCCGTCAGATCGAGGAAATTACACCTGTGTTGTGGAGAACAAATATGGCAATATTAGGCACACGTACCAGCTTGATGTATTAGGTGAGATTTCACTGTTTTCCCTCAACCGCTGATTTGTGATGATACTGAACAGGCATGTGATATGATATGGGAAGCAGGAGCTTGGTTTCTTGCCCAAAGTGCTGGATCACGTGTCTTCTAAAACCAGAAACAAGCTGCCTTTTGGCCAACAGTTCAGACTCAGATCAATAAAGTACTTAGCTGGTGTACAGAGTGGCCAGAGAAGGAATGGCAGGACGGAGATGCTTCCTCCATTCCCAGGTGGTTCTTCCCTGTTTGGCTTAAGAATCACTGAATAGAGCAGTGGCCAGGACACCTAAGGGACAATCCCAGTCTGCACCCTTTCTGCTGAAAAGACAGGAGATGAAGGGTTCAGAGGAGAATCCTTGCTGGAAAAAGGACAAGTAAATTAGGATTTCCCTCTCTTCTGTTTTTCAGAAAGGTCACCCCACCGACCCATTCTGCAAGCAGGGCTCCCTGCCAACCAGACCGTGGTGGTAGGAAGCAATGTGGAGTTTCACTGCAAGGTCTACAGCGATGCCCAGCCTCACATCCAGTGGCTGAAACACGTGGAAGTCAACGGCAGCAAATATGGACCCGATGGGACACCCTATGTCACGGTGCTGAAGGTTGGTACATGCTCCTTCTTCTCACGCTCAGGGCAGTCCTTCCTCTGCCTTGGTCTCAGTGTTACAGAGACAGCAGCTACATTGTGGGGATGCTCCTCAAATAAATGCGCTGCCATACTCACGGCAAGAGAGATCAGCACTGAGTAAAGGTGCTCACCATCAGTGGAAGCCATAAACTTTATTTACATATTTATAAACAAGCCCTAGACTAACTGTGCAGTGCAAACCAGAAGCTCCCAACAGAGTATGTTCAATGCCACAGTTCCTAGAAGGGTAATCATTATTTAAATAAGATTTTAGGGAGCTCGAGGTCTCATTTTCTGTGTTTTGTGTCTATAAGAAAAACGTAATGAGTATAAGCCAAGCACCGCTGTTAGGATTGTTCTTTCCTTTAAGCCCATGCAGTGGAATACTTTGCTTTTTGGAGGGGGTACAGCAAAAATGTCCTAAAGTTGATGTTTCAGACTTCTGTTTGCCAGAGATAACACAACTACTGTAGTGGCACGGATAAGCAAAGTAGTTGTAAGAGCTGAGGCAACTGTGAGAAATGCAGCATAATAAAAGAGAAGCTGTCAGATTGCATTTGACCTAAAATTGTAAAAATAGCCTTTTTTTTACAGCTTCAATAGAGGTATTTTGGGGGCTTATTAAAATAAAAGGCTCCCAACTAAAACACATTCTTTCCTTTTCAAGAAAACACACTGCAGCGTGCACATACTAAATAACGCTGAACTACCAGCACCTGAGAGCTGCTAAGATTTGTGAACATTGCTACTACCCATGCTCAGGAAACCCTTTTTTTTATCGAGCAAAAACTCAGTAAGACTACTTTGCTAAAATGCTTTCTTGAAAGGGAACTTCCAGATTATAGCCAGAACAAATCCAGTGGGCCTGGTTTCACCTCAACCTATGTAAATATAAAAAGTAGAGAATAGAGAGTGAAAAACACATTGGACTTTTAAAATCCCCCCCCCTTTTTTTTTTTATTTTGATAATGAAAGGTATCCTGTATTGGTGTTTATTAAAATATATAGGGCCAAATGGGATTTTTCTGGCCCTGCAGCTGAAAGGAGATTTTGCCCCTGCAGTTTCAAGCTGAGGTTGTCCTGTGCATGGATATTCCCTGTGCACATCCTGCTGCACACACCCTTCTTCTCTTTGTATGAAGTTTTCAAAAAACCCCACTTACCAGACAGCATCTACAAAACTGTAACTCAGCCAGATACATGATAATAAAAGCCAGAGACCCTGGAAATAATTACACAGATTGAAATAACAGATTGGTTGGAAGAAATGGTTGGAGACAGTTCTTCAGGATTGGCAACACGCGCTTCTCGCGAGTTGATAAAACTTTTTGTTTTCTTGCTGTCTCTCCAAATGTGTTTGAATTATGCATATTTGAATTTCCCCTGGTTTCACAGCCCAGTACCAAGCTCTGAATAGCTGGCTGTGTCACATGCCATCTAGTATAGTCTCCGAGCTCCGTGTGTGGTCCCCATGGGATAAAGTGCTACCTTTTGGAAGTTTGCAGAGCCGCTGCGAACAGTGCCTTGTGTCACAAGCACAAGCTCCCATTTTTCTGTGGCAAAGAACATATAAATAGTCTGTATAAATAGTGTTTTAAAATTAAGTTGGAGCAGCACCGGGGTGGCTAGGTAATTAGAATTGCCAAATACCTTCTCTTCTGTGGACGGCAAAGGCTCTGCATTCCTCGAAGGGGAGCACAGGCAGGCGTTTGAAAGCACAAGTTTTGTTTGGTTTTATTTTTTTGCTGAATAGGACCAGCACACGTCTATTTACTACTTCTGGTTAATCAGGAATGCTTTGAATTGTATTAATGCCGGCATCAGCGCTGGGGCACAGAGCATTTCCATTTTGGGATGCATCTTTTGTGCGCCAGTACTGGGCCTCTGTGGAGCTGCGTCAGGCCCAGCTTTGCAGTGATTTTTTTTTTTTTTTTTTTTAAATATGTGTGTGCTTGTTTTTTAAAAGTTAAGATCTGATAAAATTATCTCACTGTCATCTTGGGGCCAGTCTGTTGTCTTTATGGACTGGTTCCCCTCATGTCATGCTTTGTCCCAGCGTCCTGGCTGTGCCGCTGGAGCAAGATGCTGTTAAAAGCCCATCCCTGCCCACAGCTGCTTTAGAAAAAGTTCTCTCCTGCCCAGGGTTTTGGTGCCTGCAGGGAGATAAGGTTTTTTTATCAGCCCGCCCTTCCCTCCTGCCTTCAGGAGATTTTTGTGGAGTGTGGGGGCTGCTATGGGGCAGTTTATATATGGGGAATATCCCAGTCTCCATCAGAGTGAGGGGGACAGAGAGGTGCCCAGTACATTAAAATGAAATTCTCCCCTTCACAGCTAAATGGGGAGGGAGGGGGCAAAACCCATCCCAGTCCAGATGGATAAATTGAATGCTTTACTTTCAACCCATTTTTCAAACAGTCTGACAAAACCAAGCCATCACCTGCATCAATTCCTGAAAGCATGGGCTAATTTGTGATCAAAGGAAACCCCTTTTGCTTTGCAGAAGAGCACTAAATGCGTTCCAGTTACGGAGGGGGGGCTGGCAATGCTGTGCCCAAGCTTTGTCAAAGACTAAATTGTATGTTCTGCATTGAAACATGCCCAGCTTAATTATAAACAAGGCAGCAACAGCAGGCAGGCACATTTACCCACTAGTCAGGACAGACAAACTTGCCAGCACGTAAACTTTAGAGATGAGATCAGCTCAAAACCAGCGGTGTTTGTCATCAGAAGTGGACACTGGGGCTCCTCTCTGATGCCACCTCTGGGTTCAGTTCCTAATAACCATAACATCTGGCAGCCCTCTTGGTTTTAATGGGCTGCGAGTCATATTGTCAGGATCAGGCCGTGAAATTGAAGGGACTGAGACTGGACTGGAGAGCCTAAGACCAGAAATGAGAAGACCAATTGTTTTATTTTCATTTCCAGAGCTGAAGCTGATATTTTTTTCTAGACTTTCCCTAGGCTGCTTCTGAGGTCACCCAAAACAGTTGTGTATTTTCAACCAAAATAAAAACAACTGTTTAGGGAAAAAAATGATGTGCTGTTGTGGCAGCATAGAAGAAGAGAAATAAAACCCTTGCTTAAGAGTCTGAAGTTTGTTTGATTTATATACACCACTTTATTTAGTAAAGAAGAGGCTCCTATAAGCAGTGGAAAAAATTACAGCTAATTTCTGAAAGGCAAAGTCAGCAGCGAGTTTCAGACCGCCACTGCTTATATTTTGTTTCCAAATTCTATTTTGGAATCTGATAATTGAAACAGTATTTGCTGAGCCTGGTTGCAAACACAGATCTCTGCTTAAGCCCTTTCTCTGGTGCTCCTGTCTGCAGAGTTATTAAGAAACTGTAGGGCCTTTGCTGTCAGATGGGGAAGTGGGAAGTTGGTCTGTTTTTTTTAAAAAAAAATTGCATGTGTGAAGGGAAAGGAGTTCACTTGCACGTGGTTTGGGGGCCAAATGCAACTTCTCTTCTTCACCCAGATCCTGGGTTAGGTCTCTCACCACAGGGTGAGCAGCCAAAAAGAAAATAGCCATGAACAGTCAATCCTAGCTAATATAGGTGCAATGGAGGTATTGTTTGGTTTACTGAAGTTCAGGTTTCTGTCTATTCCTGCAGTCTTGGATCAGTAAAAACGCTGAAGCCGATGCTAACCTAAATCTGTTCAATGTGACAGAACAAGATGAAGGAGAATATCTGTGTAGAGCCAACAATTTCGTAGGCATAGCCGAAAAACCATTTTGGCTCCACATTCGCAAACCAAAACCAGGTAAACCACAGACTCTGTCCCAAGGCCCTGGCAACCGCAAGAATGAGCTATAACATTTTTAAGAAGCTAGTGATTAAAATTACTATTCATTTTATATTATATCCTGTCAACTGACGCTGAATGGCTTTATCTTATTTTCTTGCTAATTTTTTTTTTTTTTCACAAGAATGTAACGCCTATACAGCAATTGCCATGGAAAAATTCCCACAATAAAATGACTGTCAAATTTTGCTATCAACTCTTCACACTTTTATTCCTTTCCCTTCCTTACAATTGAGTGCTGATAACAGAATTGCATGTTAATCACCTGTGACGTTCAAATCTCTGGAAAACCAAGCTGTTTCAAGATTTTCATGTGTAAAACTGGTATAATCAGTTCTGTCCTTTGGAGAAGTCTTGGAGAAATAAATGTCAACATTGGCTCATTCAAATAAACATGTTAAATAGAGAGCAGCAGCAATCTCATGGGCTCTGGGGTTTGACTCCAGTGTGGAGGGTTTGGCTGCTGTGTTGCTCAGTGCCACTTCCTTACAGGCACCTTCTTACAGTACAGTATTGAGGGCTGTGTAATCAATATATGGCTTTGAGATGCCCACTCTGAAAAAAATTCTAAAATTCTATATTTTTTAATGAAATAACAAATCAAAATGTATGTTCCTCTGATCAGCACTTGAGTCTTTCCCCACTACATCTCCCCTCCTTTCTCCTTCCTTTCTGTCTTTCCTCACCTCTTTTACCATCTTTCTTTCCCCACTCCTGTACTCACCTTACTAACCCAAAGTCAGTCATATTGTGGGGGCAATTTTTCATTTGGATGCTTTTGCTTGCATGCTTCTTTAGTGGGACAGAGTAAGAACCTGGTGAAGGGAACTTTTTTTGCTTTTGACTACAGGTTGCAGAGGGGAATGAATAAATAAATGTGGAAGATGGGCCATTGGAAAAAAAAAAAAAAAAAACCCGCCTTAATCTGCTTTTGAAATTTGCCTGTGGTGTCCTCACACTTGCTGGGAATGTGGCTTATTCTCTGTTTTCCCTCTTTCTATATGTGTGTGTTTTTTTTCCCCGTAGACGGCAGGTGTTAACACAACGGATAAGGAGCTAGAGATTCTGTACTTGCGAAATGTTACTTTTGAGGATGCTGGGGAATATACTTGTCTCGCAGGGAATTCTATTGGGTTCTCACATCACTCTGCTTGGCTGACGGTGCTACCAGGTATTTCCTCTGTGCTGGCCTCTCCTTCCCTCTCCAGGGTGCCTTGACGTTTTGCTTTAGAAATGCCAAGTTCCTGCAGCCTGCCCCTTGTTTGGAAGAGGGGGCGTTACCCAGGGAGGGCTTTCCTCTGGGATTTGCTGCAGACCCCTGTTGCATACTCACAGCTGACACTTTTTGCATTGCATATCAAGATTTAAATTATTATTGCAGTAATGATACAAGTATCTCCTTTGATCTAGAACACCTCATAGGGAGGTGTTCACAGCCTCTTTGTTAGGAGACTTTTAAGTGTCAAAATTAGGAGCTTTGTCTTTTTACGCTGCCAGTGGGAAAAGGAAGCCTCCCCATCAGACGATCACAGGGCACCTAAATTGGACATGGACTGTGGATCATCTTTTGGAGGAACCTTTCTGTTTAACCTCATATCCTAACCTAAAATTAGATGCAAAAGTGGTTGGTGTAAGTACACCTTTCCCTGCCTGTAGCATTATTTCCACTTGATGGATGAGCAGGCCAAGATAGCGATCTCAAACAGAAGGTCGAGGAGAGTCATCTGTAGACAGACCCCAGGAGTCCTGGCTCCCAGAGGCATTGCATGCTGCCTGCTCCAGCTGGGATCGATGAAAGCGGCAGTGGGCTTGAAACCCGAGGCCAGAGTGACCTCAATTTTGTGGTCCTTTCATGTGCAAAGCTCTTATTGACAATGAAGTCAGCACAGAATGTGCAACAGAGGGGTCTGCTCTCCGAAAGAGGGGAATGAGGTCGTGCTGTCCCTTCACTTGCAGAATCTGCCTCCAGCTATCCGGCAGGCTTGAGCACAGTCCAGGAAAGCACCAGCAATATTCATATTGAATCTCCGTGGGTGCTCTGCCTCGCAGAGAGTGCAGGAACAGACCTGGAGTACGTTCAGTACATCTTTACTGAAAGGGCACCCAAAACCCTATACACCCCACTTTGGCTCACCCAGTCGTAGACCACATTTGGGTCCATTTCGCAACACATCTATCTCAGGATGTGTTTAGGAACTGGAAACTTTGGCATTTCTAATCTTGACTTTATTTATGTGGGTTATTTGGATGTAATTGCTTTTATTGGGACTCAAGGTCTCCTCCTTGCCCAACCCTGCTGCCAGTAGGATCTGCTGGTCTTTTCTCTGTTTATTTGCCAGCTCTGTAATAGCTGATCTGATCCTGTTTCTGCTTCTGCCATCCACTGGCTGAGAAATTGTTTCCTTTGTTTAGAAGACTAATGTCTCTGTTATTTTGAGAATCTCCTGATACTATCTCATCTGACTGTTATGCTGTTTTTACAATGTATGAACTCACACCTCTTATTTAAGCAAAGAATAAGCAAGAGAAAACCCACCAAAAAATCGTAAAGTGGAACTTTATATTGAAGTCAGACGCAGTGAAGGACAGCTGTCTGTGCAGCAGCAGGCCTTGAAGCGCTACACACAGAGAGGGTGCAGGATACAGCCCGTCTGGGGAACCTCTTCTTGTAAACCCCTATCCACGCTACGGGAGGAGAGACATGGAGCAGAGGGCAAGACAGTGTGAACCAAGGCAGCAGAGCTGCGGCACCCACCATAGTGCCTGATCCTGGGAGATCTGGTAACCCTTCCTTGTAGGAGGAGATGGCCGCATGGCAGGATCAGGCCCTGCACAGCTGGCACACAGGCTGGTGCAGCCCCCAGTGTCACCGACAGCCCTTTCCCCATGTCCCCCTCGACACAGCCACTGAAGACCTGACACAGAGCCTGCTGCTGCCAGGGGAAAGCTCCTGCTGCTTGCCGAAGATGCTGCTTTGGGGCAGCAATGATGTACATGAGCTGTTAGTGAGCTAACCACGCTGGCATGACTTCATTATAAAGTTTCCCACTGCTGACTGTTCCTCTGATGCCAGCACACCTTGCGGGGACAGAGAATTAGTCCCACCGTGGCCCCTTCCTCTGGTCTACGTGCCTGTCCTGAAAGGAACAAGGGGAGAAACACAACTGAGATTTTCTGGTCCCCAAAAAAGTCTCGCTAGCAGGTAGCCACTGCTGGTGGGCTCGGGCCACCACCCTCCCATCTCAGCTACCTCTCTGGGCCAGACTTTCTAGCCTCTTTCCAGCAGAACTAAGTTTGAATGAAATAATTATGCAGACTGCTCTGGTGAGGCTTTTTCCCTGTGTGATGACTCACCCCTGGGTGCCCTTCAAGCCCCTTCGTCCCTCAGGGCAGGCACTGGTCCAGTAGAAATGTTTGCTGGAGAAGTAAAATCAGCGAAGTGCAGCAAACCCCAGTCCTGCAGCCTTTACATATCTGAGGCATCCAGATATGTGGTGTGGATATTCAGGGAAAGCAAGATCTGGGTCAGAGGGACAGCACAGATGTGAAGATGCCTTTAACCTAGAGCAGTGGTTTTCAACCTGTGGGCTGAAGACTCATAGAAACCCCAGGCTGGCATCAAAGGGTAGTAATTACCCCCCAAAAAAGGCAAACTGCACTAATGTTTTAACTACAGCAGCAGTTAGAAAACCACTGGCCTAGGACAGTGCCCTCACTGAAGTCACTCAGTAGATTGGCATAGATGAACAAGTCCTCCCCAAATTTCTTATTCTGCATGTGTGTAGTTGCATGTGGGCAGCTGCCCACCCTGTTCTGACTGCCATTTCTTGTCACCCCGCAGCAGAGGAGCTCATGGAAATGGATGATTCGGGTTCAGTGTACGCTGGCATTCTCAGTTACGGCACTGGCTTTATTCTCTTCATCCTGGTGCTGGCCATTGTGTTTATCTGCAGGATGAAAATGCCAAACAAAAAAGCCATGAACACCCCCACTGTACAGAAAGTCTCCAAATTTCCACTCAAGAGACAGGTAACAGAAAGTAGATACAAGATTCCTATTCCCCGCTATGGTCATCCCTTTTTGTTTTTTCCCTCCTTGAAATTTTCTCTCTAGGTGAGAAGCTCTACCAGAAAAACATTGCCCAAGAGGGACATAAGTTGGCTGCAGTTTAGGAGTTTAACCCCTCTTATTCATCTTTTTCTGTTCCAGTGGAGCAGTAGCTGGTAGCAGCTGACTCTGATTCATGAGCAGCTCCCAAGCAGCAGCGTTTCTGTTTCTCTTGTCCAAGAGGGGCTGGAAGTGCAGCTGTGGATGCCACAGAAAGCACATCTTGCAGGGGAACAGTTTAGTCCAGGCTCTCTGGTGGAGCAGGGATTTGGGGAACAAGTGCACATTGAGTTGTGCTTGTTTCTGCTTTCACAGAGGTCACTGGTGAACCCGAACCAATTCTCATGGAGGTGGGAGAGGGTCCTCTTTCTCCATGCAGTTAGAGATGCTCTGCCACATGTACATGCAGAGGGGCAGGAGCAAAAGGCACTATGTAAAACCACATAGTGAAGGATATGAATTTCATGGCTTTGGCTGTGCAAGCAACGGTGGGCATTCAGAGTGCCAAAACAGGGGAAGTCACTCCATAGCCTCTACATGCTATGGAGATGCACAGAGACTAAATGAACAAATTATACCTCCTGCCTGCTGGAGAGTACTGGCCGACTTACCTTCCTTTCCACGAGCTAAAAACCTGACTGCAGGTGCCTTGATCAGTGCATTTCTTCAAGGATGGGGGGAGTGGCGGTGGTGAGGGGGAGTTCCCCATTTAGAAATTACCAGAAAGTTGTCACTGGGCAAAGATAGCTCAGACCCCCTCAGTGATCCATCTCAGTCACTGCATTCCCTAGGAATACAGTTGGCAATAACACTTCATTTGCTCTACCCAAGCAGGTGTCGTTGGAGTCCAACTCTTCCATGAATTCCAACACGCCCCTGGTCCGGATCACACGACTCTCCTCCAGCGACGGGCCGATGCTGGCCAACGTCTCCGAGCTGGAACTGCCTCCCGATCCCAAGTGGGAATTGGCACGCTCTCGGTCAGTCAACCCACGAGTCGAGGTCCCTGCGCCTGTCGGTAGTGTTGCCACCCTGGTACCCACTAACGTGCCTGCTTGTTCCTCCTTCCAGCCTGACCTTGGGGAAGCCGCTTGGCGAGGGGTGTTTTGGCCAAGTAGTGATGGCAGAAGCGATTGGGATTGATAAGGACAAACCAAACAAAGCTATCACAGTTGCTGTCAAAATGTTAAAAGGTATGGGGAGTCCACGGAGGGCAGAAGAGCATTTTGCACGGGGGTTTCCTCTCTTCCCCCCTCTTAAGTCTTTTATACAAACAAATACCATAGAAGAAAGCAAGAACAGCCTTTCTTCCCCTTCACCCACATAGCCTGGGGGTGAGGGCTGTCTCCTTGGAGAGCATGTAGAAGTGCAAATCCCATCAGGAAGAGGGACTGGGAATTAACCCAGTTCTCTGCCAAGGGGTAGTAGCATCCCTGAGAAGAAGGGGAACCCCCTTCACTTCTAGCCAGCTCCATAAATCAGCCCACTCCTTACTCCTCCCATAACCAGCACTGCCTGTTCTAGCAAAAGCTTATGCAACAAGCACAGGCAGAGTTCGCAGAAATTCAGTTGACAAACCCCTTCTTGAGGAATTTCTTCATTGAAGAAACTTGATCCCAAACTCCTGAGAGGTTAAAGGGAGGCCAAAAACGGGGAAGTCACTGGGCATTTCCAGCTGAGTCTCTGTTTCCCATCCTTCCCCCGTGCACAGTAACCACAGACAACACACGGACAAAATCACTCTGAGGAGTTCAGCTGGGGCAAGCAGAGCAGATGCTCCAGCAGCAAGCAGCCTAGGGTTGAGGTTACTTGGGGTGACATCTTTAAAAAAATAATATTTCTTATCAGAAAATGATTAGTTTAATTTATATTACCTTTAGTCCATTCTGAAGTTGTTTTTGGAAGCAGGAACATGTCCATCTTTCCAAACCAAAGCATTAATTTGGGGAGGTTTTCCCCCATTTCCTTACTTTTGTAGAAAAAATACAGCTTTCCGTGCAAAAAAAAAAATGTTCCTTCCTCTGGTCTCTCTCCCAACTCTGACTTTCCTCCATCCTTAACTCTTTGCCCCTGGGCATGAGGGAGGGAAACATTCAGAAATAGAAAATGGTGCCAGGTACCAAACCTGACTATTTTTTCTTTGATACTTATTGGGATGAAACAGAAGAGGAAAGGTTTTATTGATTTCCATATGAACATTTCTCTCCATCTATTTGTTTTTATTTCTTGGAGTCTCTTTTTTTTTGAGATAGTATTTTTGGTTTTGTTTTGATTCTTCTTTCCAAAGTAGAATAAAAACAAACACTGCCATATTTTGAGTACTGTTTCCCTATCAAAGCCCCACATGGCTACACAGCAGTTGTATTAACTACTTCACAGAACCCATAATTTATTCCTGACGTTTTTTGGTTTCCCTCTCTTGCTTTGTCCAGATGATGCCACAGACAAGGACCTTTCTGACCTGGTCTCTGAGATGGAAATGATGAAAATGATTGGGAAGCATAAAAACATTATTAACCTCCTTGGTGCCTGCACACAGGATGGTAGGTAGCAAAGCAGCCCAATGATCGCAAGGCCGTGACAGGTTCAGGTTTGACTGTCCCATCTGTATAATTACTCACTGGCTGCCCAAAATGTCCCAGAAGAGATGTCGGTGGTCAGCTGTTCCTCCACTGGATGCTGATGTTCTCTTGCTTGCAGGACCGCTCTACGTGTTGGTGGAATATGCATCAAAGGGGAACTTGCGGGAATACCTCAGGGCACGTCGCCCACCTGGCATGGACTATTCCTTCGACACCTGCAAGCTGCCTGAGGAGCAGTTGACATTTAAAGACCTGGTTTCCTGCGCCTACCAGGTGGCCCGGGGCATGGAGTACTTGGCATCTCAGAAAGTGAGTTGAGAAACCTTGTTTGGTAGAAGCATCGGTCAGACCCACGTGTTCAAAGGCATGCAGTGCTCTGCGTGTGTGTGTGCAGAACAACCTCAGGCAAAGTGTTGCAGGCTTCTCCCTTTAGAGATCAGATTTTTTTCCGTATGAAGTGTCTTGGGTTTTTTGCTGGAGGCTTCATTCGTATGCAGAAGTTCACGTATACTGGCTGCATCCATGAACTGTACAGCCCTCGCTGTTGTCTGCAGGCCTGTTAGCATTCCCAAAATGCAATTAAAAGCACAGGCAACCCCGACCTTGGTGTCTGCCCTCACCAAGTCAACCTCTGCCACTTGTAGAGGTAACTGTCTTTCAGATGTGCAATCCTGAGGCTCTGACAGCAGCGGTCAGGGGGAGCGTCACACCAATTTGCGAGCTTCCACTGTGGGAGATGTTACATTAATCAACAGTCAGGAGTTACATGCGCCCCTGTCCCCACCCATCTCCATTCTGAGATTGCTAAAGATGGAGAGTACCCGCAAGGAAGCTGAGATCCTGGGTGTAGCTCACGTTTGCAGCTGTCACCAGCACGTGTAGTCTCAGTGGGAGTGGAGCCGGTGGTGGATTTGGCTCGATGCATGGCCATGCCCAGGATGCTCCCTGGGAAGCACTTTGCTGGCTGCTGTATTTGCTTACATCATGCCCTGGGATTAGTCCTGATTTACCCTGACATCAACAAGTGGGGAGTCAGGCTTTGGGTCACGAAACTGTGCATCAGCTAGCATGACCTCTTTTTGTGGGCAGGGAGCACTATTTTAGCTTCAGATGTCAGATGTGTTTGTCCTGTGACTGCAGTTCAGGGTGGATGGATCATGGTGGCTTCTCTTTCTGCATAGTGCAGGCTAATTTAGCTTCTTCCTCAGCTAACAACTATGAAGTATTTTGGATGTATTAGGGATGTCTTAATTTGAGGATTTTTTTCCTTCAAACTTCAGCCTGCGCTCCTCTTCCTGGAGGAAGCAGGGCAGAAAGACAGCCTCACATCCCAGTAGGCGCCCACAGAAGAGGAGTGTTGGCTTTCTCATCTGTGCATCCCTTTTGGAGAGAAAAGACGCGTGGCTGTGTCAGCGCTGAGGCTGATGATTAGGTGTTGCTAAGAGGTGGCTCCCACCGAGCATGCACGATGGGGCAGTGACACAGAAAGCGAGGAGTTAAGCAGTGCCCATAGCTTTATTAGCTTGGGAGTCAATGAAACAGCAGCTCATAAACCACACGGTGCTGTTGGTTCCAGGCACAAGCAGCTAACAAGCCATTATTTATTGCCTTGCTCACCTTTCACAGTGCATTCATCGCGACTTGGCAGCCAGGAATGTGTTAGTCACTGAAGACAATGTGATGAAAATAGCTGATTTTGGCCTCGCCAGAGACGTTCACAACATCGACTATTACAAGAAAACCACCAATGTAAGTACAGAGCTGACAAGCACATGCAGTTCTCCTTCTGGCAGGGAATTTGGCCATCCCTGCAGTAAGTGGACCTTGTCTCACATCTTCCTTTCTAGAGGGGCTTAGGAGGAAGAAATCTGCTGGGAGCCTTACCTAGTGAGGAACTGTAGATAGGCTGTTCCCAGGAACCCACCCTGCTTTCTTCCTGACAGATACTGCTGCTGCTAGCAGCTAGTCTTTAAACTAAGAGAAGCCAAGGGTTTTACCAAAGGGGAATGGAGCCCTTTCCAGTCTGCTGCACTACTGTTCATAATGTTCTCAAGGAGCTAACCCCTGGTCCTACCAGAGCCCATGACAGAGGAATGTCACTTTTTGTATTCCTAGAGCTACCTGGATTTCATGCATTTCTCTCTCTTTTTACAACTGAGCTCCTTGACTCCACTGTGAAGGGTGAGATGGTTCCAGCCATGGGCTGAGTCCTGGAGCCATTCGTATTTTCTGTACAGATTAATTTAGGAAGGAATGGCTAGAGAGACAACCCATGTCATGGTTCAAAGTCCTGCAGTAGATGCTGAGCTCTGAGCAGTTCATGGGACATCCTCCCCAGCACTGCCACATCACAGAAAACAAAGCACATCCCAGTGCTCTGCAGCAAAAGAGCAAAAGGCACAACTATACAACATAGTGTGGAGCTGGAAGTGGAGGAGGTTGAAGTTATTGGAGAACCTGAGGCTCATGCAACTGCAAGGGGTCTCAATGTCCAGGCAGTCCTACAAAGCCTACCATGCCCATAGTGGTAATTTCCAATTTCATATCAGAAATCTCTCTTAATTACCAGGATTTCTTAATCATAAATTAAGAAAAAATCTTAGGAATATTAATAGTAAATCAGATGGATTTTCCCTGTTTGAGCTGTCTTGGATAGCTGAGAGCATAATCTCATTTGTGCATCCTGCCTATGTCCCATCTCTGGTTGTCTCCCCCAGTGAGACAGTGGGTGAGAAGAGGACAAAACCCTTGCATAGCCAAATTATACCTCAAACACGAAACAGTCCCTTCTCACTCCCTCCAGGGGACAAGCAAAGCCCAAAAGAATTATGATTAATCTAGTCATTCTAATATCATATTTCTCATATGCAACAACCCATGTTTATGACCCTGATGTAGGATGTTCCCCGGGAAGCCTGGGATCAAACCTCCCCCCTTTAGCCTCCAGCAGGATCAGGATTTGTTTCTTAGAGGGTCTGGCCCTTGCCTTCATTCACTCTTGGAAGTTTCCCTTCAAGTTCAGCCTAAGCCAGGTTTGGACTTGGAGTCAAACTGCTTCTTCCAACCAAAGAGATGGAAAGTGTTGTCCCATGCTCTGCTGCAGAACTTGTTGCATTTGTGAGCGATGGATGCTGTTCCCATGCAAAGATTTATATGCACTGATACTTTAAACCTGCCTTGGCAGTGAAATACAGTCCTCTACAGAGAGCATTTACTGCAAAGATTGTCAGTGAAGATCCAGGGATCAAATACTCTAATCTGTTTATATGTGGCCACTACTGCTTTGCCCAGTGACTGGGAAGGCAGATGTAGTTGTTAATGAAAATGTTTCAAACTGGATTAGAAAAGAAGATTCAGATGGTGCCGTTGTGGCTGGGGGAATATGCTGATGGGATGTTCCCATTGTCTTCCTAATTACAGGGTCGGCTGCCTGTGAAATGGATGGCTCCAGAAGCCTTGTTTGACCGGGTCTACACTCACCAGAGCGATGTGTAAGCATACCCACACTTTTTTAAAAAAAAGTAAAATGACAGGGAAATCAGCACTTATAGTATCTTAAAGGCTGAGCACAAGCTCATTCACTCCTGGGGCGCCTGGGGATGCAAAAGCAGATGAATCTATTCCAAGCTGCAGCTTTGCACACATGGTTTTATTTTAACCATTACTTAGCTACTTTCATCCGAGGATGTCTAGCAAGCTGCTGAGAAATTATTGGAAGGCAGTCAGTTATTTATTGTCCATTTTATAGATGAGAAGATCAATCCTGAAGTCAAAAAATATCGTGCAAAAAAAATTACTCACAACTTCCTCCATGCTTTTGCCAGACAGTTACGCTTCAGTTGAGTGCATGGGATGAGCTTGAAATATTCTGTTCACTGTTAGTAGAGTTGATCAGAGAATATTCAACAAATATATTCTTGGACTAATTTTGCCACTTCATTTACTTGCTTTTATTTTTCCTAATTCTGTCTTGTCCATTTTGATGCTTCTGCACAGTAAGCAAACAGCAGAGCTCACAATACGTGTAAATCTGTATCATGTCTGAACTTAACAAGGTCTGAAGTAGCTCAACATGCACACCAGCTTTTTTATTTCAATATTTGGTTGATAATGGCATTTTTTACAGTAATTCAACAGCTAGCCTGCCTGCTCCTCAAGGCTCACCGCTTGCAATTGGACAAATGAATCTTTCTATTTCTGTATTTTTCACATACTTTGGCTTTTATTGATCTTAAGTCATAGTTTCCATGCTTAGGTAATGCTGCAGCAGGCATGACGGATAAATCAAAGCTAGAGAACAGGAGAGCGAGTGTGCATGAAAGCGGAACAGAGACAGATAATCCCTGTTTTTAAAAAGAAAATGAAGAAGGCAAAAAATATTTTTGAAAAGGAGGACTTTTAACCAGAGCACAGCTGCAGGACTGGAGTGTGTAACGTTAGTGCTCTGCTGATTTTTGTTGGGGTGTTTTTCTCCTAGCTTGGCCAGTGAAATGAGTGTTGTAACAAGCAAGTTTTGGTATCAGCTTGCACAATTAGTGGCCTGTGGTTCCAAGCCTGCAATTCAGTGAAGCTGTGCATGAATAATTTGATTTGTTCCATTCAGTGGAGCTGGTGGAAGACCTAACAAAGAGCTGGGGGTGATAGATGGGCTGTCACCTATCTGATTAAATGCTCATTTCAATTTCAGACTTGGTGCCTGGGATTTCTTTGCTATTGAGTTGGATCAGCAGAGATCTCCAAGTAACTAGTAAAAATGGCCTAGGCAATTAGTCATGCTATTGATGACTTTGTTAGCTATGCATGGCTGCACAGAAATAAAGCCAAGCGGGGGGGGAGGGGATATAGAGGGGGCTTGGAAAAAAAAACCTCATTGAATTTTAAAGATCTTTCTTCGGTTTCCAGCTGGTCTTTTGGAGTGCTACTATGGGAGATCTTCACTTTGGGAGGGTCTCCGTACCCAGGAATTCCCGTTGAGGAACTCTTCAAACTCTTGAAGGAAGGCCATCGGATGGACAAACCTGCAAACTGCACCCATGATTTGTGAGTGTGTTGTAAGGGGTGGATGACCTCGCCCCACTCCCCCCTTTCCTCTGTGACCAAATACCACCACAGGCCATAGGTTTAGGTTGTTGGAGCATCCCCGCTGTGAGATTGTGTGTCCACCTCCAGGAAGGATCACCCACCCCAATTCATTGCAGCTCAGCCCACGACTGCTGAGCAGCATAACGTGCCTGCTCTCATTTGGCAAGTGGCTGTTGGGTGGGTCATCTTCAGGACAGGTCCTCCTCCTGCTTTGAGAGTGCAGACACGCATAAGATGATCGGTAACGAGGAGCGTGGCTCCACAAAACCCTCCTCCTTGTCCCCCCCCAGCTGACCATGGACCAAGGGCACCGTGGCTGAAGTTGCACTGGCCATAGCTGTTCTCTCAGGCAGTTCGGGGCAAGGTGGGCAGGCGGGTGGGTGCCAGTTAGCTCCACCATGGGTGACGATCCCCTCTCCTCTCATGCAGGTACATGATCATGCGGGAGTGCTGGCACGCTGTCCCCTCGCAGCGGCCCACCTTCAAGCAGCTGGTGGAAGACCTGGACAGGGTCCTCACCGTGACGTCCACCGACGTGAGTGTGGTGGCGTGGGTGCGGGGAGGGGCCGCTCGGGGGGGTGGGGGGCACCCAGCATTGATGGGTCTGTCACCCTGGCAGGAGTACCTGGACCTCTCGGTGCCCTTCGAGCAGTACTCGCCGGCCGGCCAGGACACCCACAGCACGTGCTCCTCAGGGGACGACTCGGTCTTTGCACATGACCTGCTGCCCGACGAGCCCTGCCTGCCCAAGCACCCCCCCTGCAACGGTGTCATCCGGACGTGAGGACACCCCCAGGGCGGGCAGACGGACGGACGGACGGACGGACAGATGGATGGGTGGGCAGCATGCCCATGGAGGTGTGAATGTGGGGCGCCGAGGATGAAACCGTGGTGAAGGATCTTCCAGTGGAACTGCGTGGTGGTGCCCGGGGATTTGTGTTGTTGTCAAGCTGTTCAGGGTAAAAAAAAAAAATATTTTTTTTTGTTGTTTTTTTTTGTTGTTTTTTTTTCCCGTTTGCTGTATAAAAAGTCAAGAAGCACTGTCTGGCCTGAAGGAACTAATCTCTTGCCAAGATGATCTATCATATATGATTTTTTTTTTGTTTATTTTTCATTTTTTGGGGTGTGTTTTTTACTAAGCAGAATGTTGAACCTGAGAGGCGCTGACCTCTCAGCCTCCACGCTTGTGTTTTGAGTGCCAGAGTAGCCGTTCTGTGCCTGCAATACGAAGAAGAGGAAGAAAAAAATCTTACTTTAAAAAAAAAAACAAAAAACAAAACAAAACACAAACAAAAAAAAGTGTAAAGAATGTAGAAATTCTTTGCTTATGCAATCTGTACATGAACCTTTTTGGTGGAGCTGAAAAGCCACGTTGCCTGCAGGGATTCATATATTTATAAAAATATCTATATTTTTGTTGTCGTCGTTTTTATAGCTTCATGATCGTACTACCCAGCTACATAGAAGGAATCTTTTTTGGAAGGAGAAAAAAAAAAATTAAGTAAAATGCAAATCGTCATGGAGAAAGGAAAAAAAAAAAAAAAATTAGTAAAAAGAGACAGTCAAGTCATCTGAAATGGCGGCGCTTTGGCCGGGCTCGGCAGCCACCAGCCCTTGCGCTGGGCTGAAGGCGATGGGGCCGTGCCGAGGCGGGAGCAGACCCCAGGGATGGGCAGAGACCCGGCGGCGGCCACAGGGGTCCCCGTGGAGGAGAGCATCACCCACCCCAGAGAGCGGCGGGGGACCTGGCTCCCGGGTGCCCGTGCAGCATCTCAAGCCACATCCTGACCTTTGGGAACAGCCGTTTTGGGGAAGGAAAAAAAAAAAAATTAAAAAAAAAAAAAATCTCGCTTTTCGGGGTTTGCATAATTTTTCTTACCGAGGGTGAGCGGGAGGGGAGCAGCTCCTCCATCCGCCCCTCGACGCCAGCAGTTTGGCTCCATCTACGTGCAGTGACTCGGAGAAAGAAGTTACGGGTACCTGTAGGCAAGAGCCTTTAACTTATATCAAAAAGGTTTATTCCAGAGAATCTGTGTATATATCTATAAATATATCCTGTATATATATAAATAAATATATTAAAAAAAAAAAAGAATGTATAATACTAATGCAACATAAAGCAGTACTGAGAGAGAGTCTCAAAATACGAGCATTGCAATCTAGGATATACTGATCTGGGCAAAAGCAAAGAGTTTTTTGTTTGTTTGTTTTATATCTTCACAGTTTTGTTTTAAAAATTGTACCTTAACATGTATATTTGTAAAGTTATTTATAGACATTAACATATCTGTTCATCAATTTAAATAGTGTAGCATTACTGTAAACTTTAAAGTTCACCAAGCTTAAGGGTGGGGTTTTTTTAACTTATTAAAAATGGAGAAAAATTTTATTAATCAAGTTTTTCTTTTGTGTTTATGGGAAATATTGAAAGAATGTATAGATGTACAGTCCTTTAACAAATTACATTTAATGTTATAAATATATATATATATATGTATTCATTAAAAAAATATTAGTTTATCCTGGATTGCAGTCAGCAAAAGTAGGTTTATTTTTCAATACATCAGCAGTGGTTAAAACCAAACAAATAGCAGCAGAGAGATGAGTTTTACGTATTTCAGAAAAACAGGGCTAAGAATTCTTCCATCAGTTTAACCACTGTGCATTAAGGGGGTGTGGGTGTTTATTTTTCTATTTTCAAATGAAGGTATTCGTTGTGGTCGATTTAATAACAAGTATGCAGCAAAGCGAAATGTTGACTTTGGATGATGCGGGGTAATATTTTTTTCCCCCCCTTTGCCAGTACCGTTGTATTTTAGGCTTCAGAAATGCCATGTGAGCAAAATAGCAAGAAGAGTGACACTGTTTGCAGGAGAGGTGCAACGACTGCCTATTTCTTTTGCATCTAACACGTTGGAAAATGCCAGTGATGCCTGATTTTCTGAGTTTAAAATGCTGTGCTATTTTGTTCCTCGATGTCAGATAACTATTTAAAAGCACAGGAGTGAACTAAGAAATTTTAGCATGGCTCAAGCTGACAAGGGGGGAGATTTGGGCTGGGGGGTTTTTGTGGATGTTTTTTTTTTTTTTGTCCAGAAGACTTTTAACTGCTACCACAAAGAGGCAAGGCAAATTGCGTCCTAAATTCTTTCTTTCCATTTTTCTCTGGTGCATATTACATATCAATGTTTCAGAATAACAGGATGACAGCATCTCATTTTAAGATTTTTTTTTTCTTCTTAGAGCCACAAAATCCTTATCCTAAAATAAATAATTTATAGTTTGAGGTTACTTCAGTGGAAGTTTGAGAAGGTAGATTTCTATAGTTTTTTGTTTTGTTTTCTTGGAATAAAAAGAATTTTTTGGTATTTTCTTACAAATGTCTGCTAATTGTGTACATTCCAAGTACTCGAAGCATTGAGGTTTCCTGTACTGAAAAAAGAAAATGTACAAAACTGTGCATGATTTCAAATGTTACTAGATATTATAAATATATATATAATTTATTGAGTTTTTACAAGATGTATCTGTTGTAGACTTGTTGACTTTAACATTTCTTATTCAATGCTTATATAGTTTTATAGCCTGGACTATTATCTTTAAAAGCTTAAAAAAATTAAAAATTCCAATTTTGTTACATTTTATACTGTTGATGTTACAATCCACAGGTTTGCATAGCGTGATTTTTTCAATGAGCAACTCTGTTCAGTTTATTTTAATACTGTATTTCTGTGCCTGACAGCTGCAGCTGTCGAAGGTGTGAGATGAACACTAAATAAAACTATTCTGCTTTTGTTAACATGGCAAACTTACTTTTACCCCCCCCCCCCCCCCCCCCAAAAAAATAAACAAGTTGTTAAATTTGGGGGTTTATTCCCACTTGTGAGGGTCCTTTGCAAAACCAAGTCTTCTAGGCTCTGGGATTTGTAGTGTCAGGAGGATTTATTTTTTACAGTGCTGCTTTGCAAGTCCTGGTCAGCACAGGTTTTATATTCATAATAAATTTATAACAATTTTGTTTTAAAGGCAGTATTGTTTCTTTGTTAGTGGGTATATTTATATCCACACAAGCCACTGTGTGCATGCAGGTATAGAGGTATTTAACCCTCGCTCTCGTACAGGATTAAGCATATAGCAGTAGCACAAGGGCAGGAATTGCTCATTAAACCTCTGTTGCAGATTTCATCCAGACCAGGACGTCTTCCAGTGTGGCCGTGGTGGTGCTCATGGTGTTGGGTTCAGCTGGTGGAGGTGCAAGGGCCGCTGGAGGAGCCCACCACGAGGAGATGGGGAAGATGGAGGAATCCAGCACAGGCAGCCTGGAAGTGCCAGGTGGGACAGGAGCAAGGGACTTCATTCTGCCCAGCTCCCAAGGAGCAAGGGGAGCCCAGGTTTGGTTTTGGCCTTGCAGGGGTTGAGCAAGGGGACTCAGTAAATCCTTGCTTTGCTGGTAGCAGGCAATGCAGGAAGATATTTCAGCTTGAGAAAAAGCCAATCCTACCAGCACTTCCATATAATATTAATGGATTCCTACAAGTGATCCTGTTGAACTTCATCCCAGACACCTTGATTTTTGCATGCAAGTTTATCTACCTACCTATAGCCTGCTTACAGGAGCAGGCATCTGTAGTTTTAAGGAGCCGGGCATGGGAGTGCATGCATCTGAGCAGGTTCCATCTGCGGCGTTGGGACTGCCACCACCATGGTTACATCCTAGTAGAATTAAAAAAAAAACAAAAGCAAAAACAAAAAACACACACACAAAAAAAAAAATACAACAACAAAAACACCCAACTAACATGTTTTTTAGGTCATTTCCTTGCCATTGTGAGGAAAAAAATAAAAAAAAAATCATTCTAGGATGTGGAAGGCAAAGTCTTGCTACCTGGAATAGGTTGTTTCCATGCTTTGAGGAGACACTTTGCTAGCCAGCCCCGCACCCTGCCCCAGCAGGAGTGGCGTGGGCTGAGCAATGATCCCCGGCCAACCAGGGCTGCAGTGGAAGCACAGCTAAACAGCCCTTTGCTGGCTCCCACTCAAATGGCTTCATCATAGCAGGGTGGTGAGGATGCTGTGCACCATTTGCCACCAGGACTTGAAAAGCAGTAGAGGGATGGATCATTTGGCAGTTAGCTGTGGTGTGTAGCATACCCATGCTTTATAGCTGCCCAAAAACAAGTCCTCCAAGCACATAGAGACCACAGAAGTCAAAGTCTCAAAGACTCAAGTCTCTGGCCTGGCACAGTGGCTGACCCACTCATGGAGCCGGTGTGATGTTTGCTTTCCTCTTGGGTTTCATGATGTCATTCTTCCCTTGCTGACCTTCTCCCACAGCAGTGTTTGCTTGTGGGTTAGGGAGGAGGGGTAATATTTTACTTTAATTGCCCTACAATGCAGCCAGTTCTTAGCCGAGGATGAATGTTTGGCTGCAGCGTGTGATGTGCATTGAGCAACATGCAAAACAATCTCAAAGAACATTTGCAAAGTTTCTCAGCTGGGCTGCATCACTGAGCAAATGTCCCACTGCACCTCATTCCTCCCCTTCGGTGGCTGCAGCCTTCCACCCAAACTTTATGCCCTTTCAACATGAAAGAGGTATTTTACAAAGCAGAACAAATGTCTTCTTTCCCTCTGTGGGTGACTACACAAATAGGGCCTTGCACTGGACCCCATGACCTGTTTCATAGCAACATTCAAACAAATTACTAAAATAGTGATTTTAATTTATGTGCTCCCATTGGCCATGACTCCATGGTGAAACAGGGAGTATTTGGCAAAAGGAAGGGAAGGCTGAAGGCCTGCAGGTGTTAGTAAGTGATGGCAACTAGAACTAAAATAGCAAAATTTCCTGGTGGCCAGTGCCATTTAAAACTCTTGAAAGAAGTGTCTCCTGCTGGTGGGCTTGTCAAGCCCGTTCATCCCTCCCAGAGGCTACATAACCTCCAGAAAGGGAATATGGAGATATGGGTTGTGTTGACATGAAAAAGGAATATAAATGGTGAATGACGGATCTGCTCAACACCAGTTGAGTAGCTAAAGCTACTAGCAATGGAGGGACACAAGAGAATGGCCAGTGAAGATGCTAGAACATGAAGTGCTTTCTAGGGCTTCACAGCCCAGAACCATTGGCTCACCAAGAGACAGGGAAGGGATTTGTTACTCTTGCCTGTACCCTTTTCTTCCTCCACCTTCTCAGCCACGCTAGCTCTAAGCATAGTTTCATTTTCTCATGCCTCTGATTTAGTTTCTCTGTTTCATCACCATCATGGTGTTTTTCACAAACAGCATCTCGGGTGTAGGCAACATGTCACGCAGAAGCAGCATTGTGTCCTGCCCCAACAAGATTATTGTCTAAAACCAGGAAAGAAATGAATGTCCTAGCACACAGTGATACCATCAGCTCTGAGCTCTGTGGGGACATTTCTGCCCACACATATCACTGTGTCATCAGGTCTCCTGGTTGGTGCCCACCAAAGTCCAGACCATAACCACTGTACCTGTCCCAGGCCCCTTTGGAGGGGGTCTGGCAGCATGCAGGAGTGGGGGGTAGGAAAGGAAAGTATGCAAGCAGAAGAAAGGTATCTTACCAAATGTGCAGGTGGGATTGGCCCAGGAGTGACTTTGCTAAAGGTCAAAGTCTTCATGCATCACTCACCAACCATGAGTTGCTCCAGGTTCCTCACCAGTTCAGACAAAACTGACTTTTCCACCAAGGAGGAAGGACCTCAGTTGGGAGGGGAGAGCAAGGAGAAGGGGCACAGTAGGGTGCATCTTCCAAGCAAGAGCTACATTCAAATAGGTATTGAGTACCAAACTCAAGCCATGAAAGCAAGAAGTTTGGCACCAGCCAAACCTAACAGTACCTAATGGTCCCTCCACAATTCTATGGCACTGGGGTGCACTCCCTACGCATTCGGCCAGAAAATCAGGCAGCACACAATAAAACCAATGCTGGACAGAAGAAGATAATGCCATGGATAATCAACGCACAGCCTCTCCAGTGATAACACACACTGTCTGTCTTTATTACTGACATTTAGCTAAATGCCACGCACGCTTGCCTTTGGGTCTGCCTCAACACCCTCTGTATGCTCTCAGGGCATGGAGACTAGGACAGGGATGGAAGGTGGTGCCACTGCCTTACATCAAAGGTAGGCACTGGGTTTGGGTTCAGTCTACTCTGAGCCAAAGTCAACATGGATATTAGGGTAATCAGAGACTTCCAGATGCTAGAGACTGTATTAAAGATCAGGTTGCAAGCAGGGGTGGTGAGGCTTGCTACCTTTTGACTATTACTGACAAGACCTTTTGCTAGGAGAGGAGCACAATTTGAAGTATTGATGGCATAAAATCAAGGCTGAAAAAGGCAACATAAAACAGCACATTCCCTGAAGACTCTGCCAGGGTGGTAGGACTGGGCAAAAACCGCAAATTCCTACAAGCCCTCACTGAAACTGCCTCAAGGAACTATCCGTTTTGGAGAGTAACTTTGCAAATATGAAGTGATCACAGCCTGCACAGACATAGCATGAAGCTCTGGGGAGAAGTGCTATCCTGACATGCTCACACACACCCAAAACGGCTGCCTGGACAATCAGGACCCAGCCAGCAGCTTGCCACTTTCCCAGGGGACATCATGGTTGCTCTCTGAGATAGGTCTCATCCTACAAAAAAAAATCTGAACCCAATCCAAGAAAAATCATTTAATGCCTTTCCTGGGTAGCACCACAGGTATCTTTTTTTCCCAATATAGCAAATAACTTGTTCAGGATATGGTTCTTTGTGCTGATCTTCCATCAGACACTTATCTAGTCTGCTCAGCAAGGCAGAAAACCCATTTATTGGTTCTAGCCAGTCAATGTCAATTTTTCCACTTCCACACCGGTAATATGGAAGAGACAGACAAATACAATTTCCCCCCACAGTAAAAATCAGCTAGACTTTGCAGAAGTTGTTTTCAAGCAGACCGTGGAATTAAACCTGCTTTGGTAGTACTGGCAAGTAATGTCTTGCTATTGAAGGAGAGAGAGATCTGTTTTCATTCTCTTGTGCCTCCCTGCAGCATTTAGCTCCCTCAGCTATTTCTGTCCTGCAGAAGATGTCAGACTCACAGGTGATGGAGCTTGAGGCCTTTCTGGGGGAATAAACTCAATGAGCACTGATAGGAACTCATTTCACACCCCCCATTACAGGGTCATCTTCCTGTCCTGGACTGACACATACACATCTTCCACATGGGAGGAACATGCACTCAAGCACTGACATTACATTCATGATGCCCACCGCACCTTCACTGTGCACCACCATGAGGGCTGGGCAGCTGGGCAGGATCAGCTCTTGAACATGTCTAATAGATTCAGTTTGGCCAGAAGCTTCAGAGGACTCTTAGTTCTCTGTCAGTCTTAAGTTTTTGCCTAATACAGTCTCCTAGAGATGTCTTCTCCCATTTGATGTCAGTGAAGAGTTTGTCTTGTCTTAGCAGACACCAGTCCGGCCTCCACTACACACCACCTGGTCCAGTCAAGGGAACTACAGCAGAACGACAACTACATGACTATGGACCTTGAGCCCTTAGGAACTGCTGAATAGGCACTGCTGAAAACATCAGCAGGAAGGCACCAAGATGTTTGGCTGGTGTGCTATGGAAACCAAGAGAGAAGAGCAGAGATGAGCATGTGGATGGCAAAAGCTGAGTCATCTTTATAAGAAGAGGGAAAGGACCAAGCTGCCAGATGGTTTCCTAACAAAGATGCAATACCTTTCCGGGTACTTATGAGTTCACACACTGGGAATGTGCTGCTGTCAGAAAGAGGCACTCATTTACAGCCTGCACGTGAGAATTTCAAAGTCATGGCAGTCTGAATGTTATCTCAGAGCTCTTGTTATACAAGTACATTGGATTTCTGGTGATTATTTTTCCTTGGACAGAAACTATGCAGCCAGCTCTAACCTATGTAAGAGATGAAGGAGGTAAGTTTTAGGACTGATAGATCTAGGCATTGTAAAATGCATTTGTGGAAATGCCCTCAGCAGTATATACATTCCTACCTAATGCTTCTGTTGGAGGTTTGTGGCTTGCACATGAAAAACTCCTGCAAATACCTCCCAAAGGCATTTATGGTCAAAATCCTGTAGAACACCAGGAAAATCTAGAATTGGACCATCTTAATGGCACCCTGCAGTCTCCCTGTTCAAAAAAAGCCATTCCTCAGAATAACCCTCATCACCTCAGCCTGAGGTATATAAACACCCAAATAATAAAAATCATCTGCCTAGTAGCCCTTCACAAACTACCCAAGGAAATATTCATACCCCAACAGGAGAAATTACAGAAACCCCTGAAAATTAGATAATGCCTTTGCAAGTATTATCACCTTCCACATGATGACCAGGGACTTTCATCTGTGAAGGCAACCACCAAGGTCTGGATCCATCATACTTGGCTCTTGAGCAGAGCGGTGACTATTACATGAAAAACCATGCAGATAAATGCAACACACATCATGAGACTGACGCTAAACAAACTCCAAGATCCAGGCAGGGGTGCAGGTCCCAGGCTGCAAGTGAGGAAGGCAAAGGAGCTTTCAGCTCTCCTTGTACAGGCTGAGCAAAGATGTTTATGGTGGGTGAGTGGAGCTGACTAAGCTCTGACCTCCTCCAGCCCAATAATAGCAAAAAAAAAAGTGGTGTTTCTGCTCAGAGTAGTGTCTATG